GAGGGGGGCTTCCTGGACATCGACGTGGAGGTGAGGGAGGCGGGTGGGGGGATGAAGAGGGGAGCTGGGAGTTTCAGCCTGTAAGGGGGAGGGTGTTCCCGTTGTGGTTCTGTCCTTTAAATGTAGTAAGAGCTCACTGATACAGCAGCAGGGGGAGTGACTACTCCAGTAGTCACTTGACTAGGTGCTTATATCCCTAGTGTGGGGAGTGGATCTGCGGGGGTGCTGGCACCGCACCCTGACCTTGGACGGAGGGAATGGGGGTGGGGAAGAAGAAGGGAAGGTAGACTGAAAAAGGCTAGGCCCTGGATGTCCTTTAAATGTAGTAAGAGCTCACTGATACAGCAGCAGGGGGAGTGACTACTCCAGTAGTCACTTGACTAGGTGCTTATATCCCTAGTGTGGGGAGTGGATCTGCGGGGGTGCTGGCACCGCACCCTGACCTTGGACGGAGGGAATGGGGGTGGGGAAGAAGAAGGGAAGGTAGACTGAAAAAGGCTAGGCCCTGGAGGAGGTTATCTGCACAGCAGGTGAGAGTGATGAGTTCTGGTAATGGCTGGCATGCAGGGGGTGCTTTTGGTTATTACCTTGCACTTGAGGGGGTTGGGTAAACTAATGCTTCATTTGATCAGGGTATCAAGGTTCAGAGCTGTGTCTGTCTGTCTTATCAAGGCCAAAAGCAGGCTTCTTTAAGGGCCAGGACAGTATATGCATATGCCCTGTTGTGGTGTGAGAGGATTCTGAGTGTAATCATGGACGGGAGGGGGAAGATAAGGGATATGATGCTACTAGCAGCCTGGAGGTGGAGTGGGGGAAAGGCACAACAGGTTGCATCCTGAGCTGTTGGTAACCTAATGGCTAGCAATGAAGTTATGAAGCTAGGGAAAGCGATGATTGGGGCTGCCCTGTTGGGGGAGAAATCCAAAGACAGAAACATGCTGTTAACAATTGGCTGGAATGTTGATATAGCTTTCTCTTTGTTGACTTGCATTGTTTTATAGGGTTTTACCTGCTAAATTTTTGCTTGGCAGAAGCACTGTAACATCCATTTTTGGACATAAACAGCAGCAGGGCAAGGGTCATGTGAGATGTCCAAATCCCCCCCCCCCCCCCCCCACCGCACCACACATAAATAAATTGCCCAATTATAACTCTCTCTATTGTCAACCCACCTGTAGAAAGCAACTGTCTAGTAACGACTTATAAAACCACCTCTTAAAATCTCCCATTCTTTCTCCATCCCACATCCTCTTTTGAAAGTTTTCAAGATAAGTCTTCTATTAGCAATGGATGTGGTAGGCGATGCTTCTTACAGAATAGTGCTCATTAGTTTGGGGGAGGGGCATAGCAGTTTCCTTTAAGTTGGATTTGACTGACATGTGAATTATGGTCCTAATTTTTTTAACACCTTGTCCCCTCCCAAAGAAATCCAGGTCTGTAGGACAATAATGTACACACTTTGTCTTAAAGAATCCCAAATCAATCTACAAGTGGAATCTCTTCATCAGTCACAAATGCAGTTAGCTTTGAAGTGCAATATGACAACTAATTAGGCTTATCTTGAGCACTTTAACAAAAGGAAGTTGGATATAGTAAGGAAGAAAAATGTTGAGCGATTTTGTGAGCGGAATGATCAGATGTAGCAATATTGTTTTTGGTGCTTTCTGCAGTTATATAGTGACAATATACAGGAGGCATGAGACGTATTTAGGAAAACTATTAAATGCAGTTTAAACTCATGAAATCTAGGGCAGCAGAACGTAATGAAACAAGGCCAAGACGCAGGATTCTACACTGTACTTCTGGCAAAAAGAGCCTGAAGATCTTAATGACCACAAGTACATTGGCTCTGTCACCTCCCCATAATGGCACTTGCAGCAGCACAGAATTGTATATTTAAAGACTAAAGTGACATGTCAAAAGGAAGTAAGTTCATTTCGCATTTACTTTCTTGCCAGAAATGGAGGTTAGGGTTCTGCATTTCCCCTGCCTTCATTGATCTCATGATTAATTTTAGATTCTAATGGACTATTGAAAGATAATGCAAGTCTTGGCAGGTAAAAAGCCTTTCACATCACCTTAAAGAGGTATTTTCTGAAAGGTTCTAATGCAAATAGAAAAATTTCACGCTGTATTTTGGCTGTGGGAGGTAAGAGTATATAGAATAAGAATGGCCATACTAGGTCGGATGAACGGTCCATCTAGCCCAGTATCCTGTCTGCTGACAGTGGCCAATACCAGATGCCCCAGAGGGAGGGAACACAACAGGTAATCCTTATGTGATGCATCCCCTGTCACCCATTTCCAGACAAACAGAGGCCAGGGACACCATTCCTATTAATCCTGGCTAATAGCCATTGATGGGCCTAACATCCATGACACTATCTAGCTCTTTTTTTGAACCCTGTTGAAGTCCTAGCCTTCAACACATCCTCTGGCAAGGAGTTCCACAGGTTCACTGTGTGCTGACTGAAGAAAAACTTCCCTTTTTTTGGTTTTAAACCTGCTGCCTGCTAATTTCATTTAGTGACCCCTTAGTTCTTATATTGTGGGACTAAGTAAATAACTTTTCCTTATCCACTTCTTCCATACCAGTCATGATTTTATAGACCTCTATTATATCCCCCCTTAGTCTCCTCTTTTCTAAGCTGAAAAGTCCAAGTCTTTTTAATCTCTCTTCATATGGGACCCATTCCAACACCCCTAGTCATTTTTGTTGCCCTTTTCTGAACCTTCTCCAATGCCATTATATGTTTTTTTGAGATGAGGTGATCACATCTGTACACAGTGTTCAAGATGTGGGCGTACCGTGGTTTTATATAGAGGCAATAAGAGATTCTCTGTCTTCTCTATCACTTTTTTAATGATTCCGAACATTCTATTTCAGGGGTGCGCAATAATGTTTGATGGGGCCACTCCAAGATTTTGGAAAGTGGTCAAGGGCCGCACTCTTCCATGATATTAATGGAGGAGATGTGGGGTCTGGGATGGAGGTTGGGTGCAGAGGGGAGCTTGAGGTAAGGGATTGGGGTGCAGGAGGGAGACAGGAGTCTGGGAGGGAGTTGGGGTGAAGGAGGTGGTTGTGAAGGGACAGGAAAGGGCTGGGGTGCCAGAAGCAGGCTGTGGCCAAGAGACGTACCTGCCAGCTGCCAAACTTGCTTGAGGACAGGGAGCGTGGTGGTTCTTGGCTGCCTGTTACTCCAACAAGCAGCTCCCAGTGGCCAGGTTCTGGCTAGAACTGGGATTGTGCTGGGGGCGGGACGGCTCCTGAAACCCTGCAGCTGTGTTTCTGCATGGTGCGCGGGGCAAGTAGGGGAGCCTGCCTGGGGCTCCCCTCTGCCTCCACAGGCCAGATCCGGTGGCTTGGTGGGCTGTATTTTGCCTAGGCCTGTTCTATTTGCTTTTTTGACAGGCCACTGCACACAGAGTGGATGTTTTCAGAGAACAATCCACAATGACTCCAAGATTTCTCTTGAGTAGTTGTAGCCAAATTAGTCCCCATCATATTGTACGTATAGTTGGGATTAAGGATGTTAAAGACTAGTCGATTATTCAGTAATCATTTGCTTATCAGGTAGTCTTTTGACTAGTCGATTTACACCCCCACCCCCACTGTTGCCTCTGAGATAGAGGCAGCAAAGGGGGGGGGGGACTTTTACATTTCAAAGGAGGAATGCGGAAGTGCTTATCGACTAGTCGATGGAAATTCCGTCGACTAGTCAGTTAACCGCATTCTAACATCCTTAGTTGGGATTATTTTTTATGTGCATTATTTTACATTTATCAACATTAAATTTCATTTGCCATTTTGTTGCCCACTCTCTTAGTTTGGTGAGATCTTTTTGAAGCTCTTCAGTCTGCTTTGGTCTTAACTATCTTGAGCAGATTCTTTTGACGTTGCCCAGTAATTGTAGGCATGCAATGTCCAGATGGAATATAATGAGTTTAATTGAAATTTCCTCTTCTTAAATGTATGCCCTCAGATGCATACAAAGTAGTGAATTTTTTTTTCTGTTCCCAGATCACAGGGCCTGATAATAAAGGAATTTATAAAGGAGATCGTGAGTCCAGTGGAAAATACACCTTTGCTGCTCACATGGATGGAACTTACAAGTTTTGCTTTAGCAACAGAATGTCCACCATGACTCCTAAGATAGTGATGTTCACTATTGATATTGGAGAAGCTCCAAAAGGGCAAGATATGGAGACAGAAGGTGAGGAGAACTTCTGAAATGAAATGGTTCTGATTTGTGATCTTGAAAGATTAATTTTAGAAGCTGGTCTCTGCACTCATCCTTACAAAATACTGTAATGGAAAACCCAGAATTCTTCTCATTTAGTCACTTTAGTTTTCCATTTTCCAGCTACAACTGGGTCAAAATATGTTTAGATGCTACTGTGCAATGTAATGTAAAATGACCAGGTAATCCACACTGTTCCTTGCGGACACTAGTGCTATCGTTCTTTAGTCTTTTTTCCTCAGTTTCACACTCTGATTTCCAGTTCAGGTGCTCAGTACTATGTAGACTACTAAATGCATTAATTGATTTATTTGATAAGTGTGCTAATACGTAATTTTCTCGGAGCTATGTAAATTACTGGTTTATCTGTAGCCTTTTGTCCTGTACTCGTGTTCATCTCTTACACTTTTCCTTAGGTGGTGGAGATACCTGGGATGGTATGTGTACTGCTTTTTGAAAGCTCATTAGCATCTTGTCTCTTGCATATGTTTATTCACTAACATCTAACTTTTCCTCTTCTCTAACATCTGTTGGTTAGCAAGGTAACTTTTTAAAATAAACTACACAAAATGAAGGTCTGATATTCATTGATGCTGGGCAACTGCAATTTCCATTAAGAGGACTGGGTGCTTAGAATCTCTCTGGGTCAGGTCCTTAAACTGTTAATGAACATTTGTCTTCAGGTGGCTATTTATGGCCAACGGGAGATGTAATCAAGAGTTTCTGTTAAGTAGAATTCAATTAAAAATGCTGAACATTCAGTAACTTTAGATGTTTTGTAGTTGTAGTTTTGCTTTGTCATTGAAGCAGGCATGGAGAATTGAGAGCATTTTGGAGGGGAAATCAACAACTTCCTTGTAATATCTTACAGCTAATGCATAACCTGTAAGTGAAAAATAACATATGTAATTTACCTTAAAATGAAATGTTCTGGGAAACAGTCAATCATAAAATTGAAAAAAAATGCAACAGTACAATCATTAGCAAGAGTACAGTAATATCTTCTAGACTAGAAGTCAAAAGGTATGTAACCCATGTGTGAAGTGCTTGACATGTTCTTGAAATATTTAACTATTTGCTAACTGAGTTCTTATTGATAAGAGAGTTCAAGAAGTCTCTCAAGTTTGTGAAAAGCATACCTTTTGTGCAGAATGCTGACACACATCTTCTTTCTTTAGCTTAAGGCAGATGTTTGCCTATAAGCAAGTATGTTTTTAGCATGTTTTGTACATTCCATAAAGTAGTAACCTTTGTTCTTACTAATAAGCTACCCATATTGCCATAATCAGTCGATTAACTGATAAGCAAAAGCTTATAGGTTAATGCTAAGATGACAGGTTCTCCCCCACCCCCTGCCAGTAAATTGTTTAGCAGGCTGGCCAGCAGCCTGGCTCCGTCCTTGGACCCATCTCTGCTGCGGCTCTGCATTTAAAGTGTATTGGGAGCCAGGTTGTTCTTACTAATAAGCTACCCATATTGCCATAATCAGTCGATTAACTGATAAGCAAAAGCTTATAGGTTAATGCTAAGATGACAGGTTCTCCCCCACCCCCTGCCAGTAAATTGTTTAGCAGGCTGGCCAGCAGCCTGGCTCCGTCCTTGGACCCATCTCTGCTGCGGCTCTGCATTTAAAGTGTATTGGGAGCCAGGTGGGTGTAAACCGGCCCCCCCCCCCTCACGGACCAGCGCCCACCTGGCAGGGGGCTCCTCGGGACTGGGGCTGGAGTGCACTGGCTGCTGGCTACACCCCCAGGGACTATGGAATAGTCAAGTAACTGATAATTCATGAGGTCAATTAACCAGTATTTAACATCCCTATTATACATACACTTATACACACGCTTATCCAGAGAAGCAGAGTGCAAAATTTATGTGCACTCTGGTCTCTGTTGACTCTGCCCTCATCTGAGTTGGATACCATGGAGAAGAAGGCTGTCAGGGCTGTTCCCCACTCTGGCACTCCGAGTGCAGAAGGCAGGGGCCCGCAAAGACCCTAAATACCTTGCCTCTATAGGCTCTGCTTACAAAAACTCCTCAGTCACAGATGCACTGGCTCCAGGGGGGAACTCAAAAAGCTGCCACCACCAAGTGATTTCACCCTAAAAAACCAGGAGGCAACACTTGAATTCTCTCCCGGGGTACCCCAAGCTATTTTGCCTGAAAGAGCTTTGAAAAAAAGTAGAGAAACAAGCTGCAGTCTCTGGTAGCTGACTTCCTAGTCTGACGCAGACACCTCCTCTGTTACTTTTCAGGAGACAAGAATCAAATCATCGATGCTTGAAGTGCTACTTTTGTTAACTTAAAAAAAATACTTGAGCGCGCGTATTTGGTTGCTAGGTGTACAGAGCAACTAAGTAAAACAAATTAAAACACAGAGAAAATCTTTGGGAACAACTCTTAGATGGTGAATGGGGGAGGGAAGGCATAGATTCACACAAGTTTAAACCAAACAACCAAAACAAAGAAAAATACACTTTTTTTTTTAAATTATTTACTCACAATCCCTTCCTGGTTCAGTCCACTTCGATATCCCAAATTCCTTGGAGGCAAGGTAGTCTTGCCTTGGTTTAAATAATTCTGTCTGTCTCTCAACATCTGGCTTACCTGCTTTCTTTGGGTGGGGAAGTTAAGGTAGCTTCTACAATTCAAATTTCAGCACTTTATTCCTATTGGTTCTTTTGGCCCCCTGCCAACACCCTTGCTAGCTACTGGAGTTTAACCCCTTAGTCACCGGATGCTTGCCAGCACTCCTATCCATCACAAAGGCCTACCCAAAAGTGTGTGTTTAAAAAAAGTAAATGAAGAAACCTGTGAACATGACTCTGAGATTTTTTAGAAATATTGTTCATGTCATTATTCAATAAGTAGATCTGAGGTTGAAAATTTTTCAGCTATATAGGCTATGCATTTTACAAAACTAACTATAGTATGGAATTAAACGTAACTATTCATCCACTTTCAGGAGAAACTGTTTTTGGTATCTTAATAATACAGACTCTGATGTGTGTGGTGTTTTTTTAATTTATTCTGCAGCTCATCAGAACAAGCTAGAAGAGATGATTAATGAGTTAGCAGTGGCCATGACAGCTGTCAAGCATGAACAAGAGTACATGGAAGTTCGTGAGAGAATACACAGAGCAAGTATGTGGCTTTGACTTGCATCCTGGTGTTGTGGGTGGTTTTTTTTTATTATTTTTTTATTTTTTTTTCCCCTTAAACGCTAGAATATTTTGAGCTCTAGGGAAACTATCTAGAAACTAGATTTGTTGGAGACTTTTCAAGCACTTTATTTCTATCATAATGGTAGGACTCAAGTGTTATGAGACAGATCCTTTCTCTCTAATGGACATTTTGCATAACAGAACTTTTTAGTTATATCTGCTTTTCCAGTGTGAAATTTGAAAGAAAGGAGGAACTATTTGCAGTTATTCATGACCATATCATTTACTATCTCCAGGTCAGTGATATGTTCCCTAGTGGTTGGTAGATGCATTATTTCATTCACGAAATAAGTCTGGCTTATTTTGTTGTAAATCGGCCTAATTCACCTTGTCTTCCTTATGCAGAGGTAGAGTTTTGGATGTTAGCGGAACTTATTGCTACTCATGTGAGGAAGGTGAACAAGGTCTAAGACTCAATCCTCACTACTTTAAAATATAGTTGGCAGATAGAATAAGCCCAATACAAATAAAGGGGAGATCTGTTTTCCTGTGAAACCCTTAATTGTACATTAGAACTTTCTGTATAGTAACTTAATTTTTTTAAAAGATTCAGTACATACAATTTTCCATTACAGGGCTAACTTCATAAATGTACATTAACCTCAACGTCTCTTTATCCTCATAAAATCAAAATTTCTTTGATAGACTTTTCATAAAGAAAAACACAATCTAAGGCTAGGGGAAAATGAGGCAGATTCCTGAGGGGGAAAAATCATCAAACAAAATACAGTTGTTCAGTTCTTCCATTGCTACATTACACTTGTTCTAGCAGTTGTGGTCCCTGTTCATAATTTCACATTCAGGAAGAATGTTTCTTGATGCTTTAGACAATGATTACTGTAAAGGAATTGACTTAACATTTTGTGAGTGGTGATATCCATATCCATTTACTATCTTCCTAACAATGTCCATTATGCAGATTTTTTTTTTTAAGGATGCAGAAGATGCAGTAACTCGGTGGTAAACCAGTTGTCACAGCTTGCTGTTACTATCTGAGTGGGACTATTCTAGAATTTTACTTAAGTGTAATATTACATTCTTGACATGTCAACAAACTTTTAAATGTTGGGTGGGGGGTGGGGGGGGGGAACTTTGCAATATGCAAATGCTGCAATTTTTGTGGCAGTTTGCTGTATTTTTGTCTTATCAATATTGGAATCTGGACTGACTGGTGGATTGATAGACTTAATAAACAAATGGGAATACCAGCTTAACTCTGGTTAATCTAAAGGGGAAGAAAGCTGAGTAGAAGATCTGGAATAAGGTACTAGATGTGGCCATCAAACTTGTATAAATTAGTCTCAAATGCTGCAATTTTTGTGGCAGTTTGCTGTATTTTTGTCTTATCAATATTGGAATCTGGACTGACTGGTGGATTGATAGACTTAATAAACAAATGGGAATACCAGCTTAACTCTGGTTAATCTAAAGGGGAAGAAAGCTGAGTAGAAGATCTGGAATAAGGTACTAGATGTGGCCATCAAACTTGTATAAATTAGTCTGGGGTTAGTAGCTTTTCCTCATGAAGGTGGGATGCAGCATCATTCAATGCTCTAACTCAAGACTGATGTTGAGATTGAAAGAGCTTCTAGTGTTTGACAAGTATGATTCCAGTAGGGGAATTGGCCTTTGAATTGGGAAAATGGACATATAATTGGCAAATTGTGTTTAACTCTTTTGTAGCTGTAATTTTATAGTGTAGTGTTCTGTATTTCAGCTGCTTTAACCTTTTTTGAGATTAACCCTGTCACCCTAGACCTCTTACTTGGCTGAGAATGCTGAGTGTGCCAACGTTCTAATGGTTGTATGGATGAATGCACAGATATGTATAGTGCTTGCTGTCAACCATATAGACCTTATTAAATAAAATACCTTGCATCACACTTATTTAAATAGCTTAGTAGTTACGTATTTTTTTTTCCTCCAACAGTTAACGACAACACAAATAGCAGAGTGGTCCTCTGGTCATTCTTTGAAGCCCTTGTACTAGTTGCCATGACACTGGGACAAATCTACTACCTGAAGAGATTTTTTGAAGTCCGAAGAGTTGTTTAAGCGAACTCTTCCTGATGATCCCAAATGCTCACTTACTGTCTACCAAACATCTTGGTCACAAAACAATATCATTTAGTTTTTAAACCCTGATTTCCGAACTATAGAACTTATTTGCTTAAGTTCTTAGTTGAAATGAAATGTTTTTATATATCTTGTGTATCAAAAGCTGTGTTAAAAATCTTGTCACTTAATTGGCATAACTTTTTCACTTGAAATCTGCCTAGCCTTTATGCTAAGAGAGGTGGAAACAGACTGCAAATGTAGTAATAAAGCAATGTTACTGCCTTTTTCTAACTTTTTCTGTTTTCTTAATTGCAATTCTGTCTAGGGAAACAGTAAAAGGTCCTTAAGTGACTATTTGCATTCTTCACATCTTTAATCCTGCAGTAGACCTTTATGGAATTAAAATCTTCCCTTTGCTTTCATGTACTGCCCATAAGGAGCAAATGCAGCAGAACTTCATTCTGATATGACTAATAATGAATAGAAGACAGCTGACATTTCCAGTATATTATGCATATGAGACCACAAAAACCTTACAGTAATGATCTTAATTACATTGATTTGTTCCCTAAATTCTTTTTAATTAAAACATTAATGTTAAAATACATGCTTTCCTTATTACCAGACAATTATATGATTTTTCGTTTAGCAGATTTATAATTATCAGTCAGTTGTGTGCAGTGTTTTGGCAAGCTAGTCATTAAGCCCTTTGGTGCTTGCAGGTCCAAAGTTCATGCTGTTGACACTATTGCAGAATGCACCAGTGTTCAAAAAATCTGGATGTCTGATGCCAAAGGGTTAATGGTTTGGGGAGGGGATGGCAATTCTATGCAGTCCTTATTTTAGTTTGTGGCACTTTCTGCCATTTTCTGGTCCTAATTAGCATAATGCTAAGTATTGATGCGTTTTTTTCTGTATTTCAGGCACATGTGGATTTCAGTTTTTGTATGAACAATTACTTTCCTTTCTTGGTATCTGTTGCTGGGTTGGAAAAATGTAAAGACTTGTCTATGATGTGGGTGCTGATCCAGGATTATGTTGACTGATGTATATTGTTACTTGTAGACCTTCCCCCCTCAAAAATAAAAGATCACAACAGTTTTGTATAATTAATTAAAACGTTACAGGTTTTCATGTTCTAAGTAAACTACTTCAATCTTGGGCAAACACTTGAGGCAGTTGTTTAAAAAGGGTGGCTATTACACCTGAATGTGGCTGTTGTGTGCCAATACTTTTGTGTGGAAACACTTCAAAATTAAATTCTAAGACGTACATTTAAAATTGCTTGTTAAAATAAACATTGTTATAGACATTGTGTGTGTGCTCGCGCACACACACACACACTCAGAGTCTACAGTGACTGTTCCTGCTTCAAAGAACCTTCAGTTCTAATTGTGACAGTATTTTTAAGCGTGGGCATCCTTTAATTTATGAATATCATGTAAGAATATCTTTACAAATTTCAGTAGCCCCCCATTGAAATGTTGCTTTTTAAAATATTTTTTAGAAAAGTGTCAAGAAAAATACATCTTTGTTGGAACGTCATACTCTGTTTATGGGATAGGAAGAACTTTGAACACTAAATATACAGCTTTTACTAATAACATGCGGCCATGATTATATTTGATTTCTTAGTTTGCATTCATTGATGATAAAACTATTTGGCCAGATTTTTTTTCCCCCTCAGGGAACACTTGTTGTCTTAGCATTAAGTACAAAGCAGTTTGATTAGAGGTGGAACGTCATACTCTGTTTATGGGATAGGAAGAACTTTGAACACTAAATATACAGCTTTTACTAATAACATGCGGCCATGATTATATTTGATTTCTTAGTTTGCATTCATTGATGATAAAACTATTTGGCCAGATTTTTTTTCCCCCTCAGGGAACACTTGTTGTCTTAGCATTAAGTACAAAGCAGTTTGATTAGAGGTGGGTATTTGAGGGCATGTAAAGGAAATCATTTCAATGGGATGCTTAGCGAAAAGTAGGTGCTTGATAGAAATTGCTTGTAGGGAGGCTTTTTATGTTTAAAATATTAGTGAAATGCAACAATTGCTCTGCTACCCTGTAGTATTCATGCAAAACTAAATAAAAACTTCAAAAATTGAGAACTTGAGAACTTTGACCCAGCAGAAGAGATGGGGGATCTTTATTTTCAACCTGGTACAAGTGAAAGTATCTGTATTGCTTGTGAAACAGTGTTGAGAGGTGCCTGAAACACTTCACGAGCTTTCCAAGTAGTGATAAAAATATTAATCTTCTAGCTTCTGCGCAATTATGTTGCTGACTAGTGGTTTGATTCCTGTCACTGTGGTGGGCAGATTAGACAAGCAAATGTCTGAATCCTATAATCAAGATATGAATTTTGCTGGGGTGGGGTTGTCCCAGAAAGCTGATGCACGGCCCAGCTGGGCTGCCGGGAGAGCTTGGAAGCCTGGTGGGACAGCAGGGCAGGAGGTGGGGGTGGCAGCAGGGGGGCCAGCAGTGACCTCCCCTGATCTAGCAAATCCCCTCATCTGGAACCAGTCAGGTCCAACCTGTGCATTCATAACCAGGAATTAATTTTTTTTTCAAAGTACTGTGTTGCTTTTTAAACACCTGTACAAATTATTACTAATCAACTAGTTGCTTTTTTGTTCACCAAAACCAAAAGATGTTCCTAAACTGTTAGAGCAAGATATCATAAAACAGTATAATGAAATCAAAGAAATATTGCCTTTTAGCTTTTTTTTTTTTTTTATTGTAATGTTTCTTGTTTCTGAAGAAATTTGAATTCACTTCAATACTACTTGTCACTAAAGATCTTTATATTGCTTTTTGTTGTTTTTGGTGCACCCAATTTAAAAAAAAAGCATATCAAAATTTATTTTACTGTACGGTCTGTTGTATAATGCATCCCAGTTTGTCATGTTTCGTTAAATTGGATCACTGTTTCTCAGCACTTGAACAAAAATGGTGTGTGTTTGCACGTGGAAACCTTTAGCGTCAAAATTTCATATAGTCACAGCAAATAGTAAATGTATTTTGGGCATTAATCTTTTTTAATACTAATGAGCAGGTTGGAACCATAGTCATCACACCCACAAGAGAGTTAGCTGTTCAAATCGAAGAAGTGCTATCACATTTCACAAAATGCTTCCCCCAGTTTAGGTAGGTATGTTTAGGTTTGTAATGAAAACAGGCTTTCCTTTGGGATTTGTTAGCAAATTTTTGAGTAATATGTTTTGTTTTAGCCAGATTCTTTTGAGCAGTGGTAGGAATCCAATAGAAGATACTGAAAAGTTCAAAGAACATGGGTGAGTTGACTGACAATTAATATATTTCCATTGGTGCCTCTTAAGGGCAGAAATGAGGTATAATCCCTGCCCCAAGGAGTTTACAAATTAGGGTGCCAGTCTTGCATGTAATCAAGGATATATTTAATGCTTTGCCTTCTATAAATCAGTTGTTTGTGGGCTTGTGTTTGCGGAATTTGTCTTCTGAATTAAACGTGACATAACGAGGATGAAACACAACTTTAGCAAGGGATCAAATGTAAAATCTGAGTGAGGGCTAGTCCCATATCATAAATTTAGTTCATGGGGGGGGGGGGGGGGAGGAGTTATCTTATTTAGTGTGAAATATCACAGCAGGGGTAAGTGCTAAAGAGGCTCTTAAATGGCCTTGTGATTTCCGCCCTGGAAGGGTGGGGTTGAAAACAGTATGTAGATGAATGATCTTTGTAAAAAAAAATACTCTGCATTGACTTAATTGTGAAAAACCAGTCTGTGGCCTTGTATCAGGGCTTCCTGGCTCCTGCTTCTCTTCTAATTTATAAACTACTCTGAGACCTTTGTACTGGTCCAACGCATTGTGCAGCTTATTTACAAATAGATTCTTACCACCATGGTTCCATCTAAGGTGTGTGCCTGTGAGGGTGCGCACTAAGAATTGGAGGCCTGCCCACCTGCTCAGCAGGGCCATGGAGTGGCTGCTCGGGGGCAGGGCCCCACCCCAGGGTAAGGATGTTAACTAACCAGTAATTTACTAGTCGATGGAATTTCCATTGACTAGATGATAGGCACTTCCGCATTCCTCCTGCTGGGGCGCTTGTACATTTCAAAGGAGGAATGCAGAACTCCGTGCAGCCCAGGGCCCGCGGGAAGTCCTGCTGACTCTGGGCTCCACAAGGGCACTTACCCTTTGAGATGCACAAGAGCCCCCAGGGGCATGGTGGCAGCTAGGCCAGGGGCAGAGCTGCTCTGTGGC